CAGGATAGAGCAGGGTTTAGAGCTGTTGTGCATAGGGTCGCTATGAGTCGAAAACGACTCGATGGCATATAACAACAACTTTAATGTGACAAGATAAGGCTTTCTTATGAGAAAAATTCTTTGAAGTAGCCTAAATGAAGTCATAACTCAATGTTAACTGGTAACAAGATTGGAAAATCAGTTTAGAAAGGAAATATTATTATAAAGACAAATTTTTATTGCAGGATATATTAAATATCCCTTTAATATTTATTTTGTGATTAAGGTGAAAATGTACACAATAAATTAGGTTATGATTTAAAAATTTCTGAACAAAATGGATTTTTCACTACTTGGATTTTATGAAGAATATGACATCAGGATTGGAAAAAGACTCATCAACAACCTACATTATGCAAACAACAGAAACTTGCTTGTTGAGAGCGAGGAAGACCTGAGACATTCGATGCAGAGGATCAAGGACTACAACCTTCAAAATGGATTAATTACCTTTCATCATCAAGAAAACAAAAATCCTCACACTGAGCTGATAGGCAACATCACGATAGATAAAGATTGAACTTGTTAAGAACGTCATCATGCTTGGATCCATAATCAACACCCATGGAGATAGGGAGACATATAGGATTGGTCAAATCAGCTGTCAGGGACCTCTCCAGAGTCCTGCAGAACAAAGATGTCAGTTTAAAGACTTGGGTGTACCTAATTGACGCCATGTTGTTATTGCATATCATAGAGTTGGAACTGACCTATGGCTGACCCTCTGGCAGGTTTTTAGAGGCAGTTAATCACATTGGAAGAATGTGGAGCTGCTAACCCCAAGACAACATCTCTCTGGCAGTTTGAGTCCAACATCTTTTCCTCTGGAGGAAGAAGGGAGTCTCTTCCTGTTCAGTTTACAGCCTTGGAAATCCACTGGAGGGTCAGCTATGAGTTGAAGCCAACTTGACAACAATGAGGGGTTTTGTTTGATTTCTTTCTTACACTGGCTAAAAGTTCCAGTAAAATGCTAAGTAAGAGTGGTGTTAACAGCTATCCTTGCCTTGTATCCTTTATCATAGTGAAGCCTTTCAGTCCCCACTGAGAATAATGCTGGCAGTTGATTTTTAAAATACTTTTTAAGTTCATGCTTACTTTTATTTTTCTTAAAGTTTGGTGGCTCTCATTCTGTAAGCTTCTAAGAAGTTGTAAAATGTTTTCTTATTTCTGTAGGATGATCTCTCCTAGATTAATAACATCTTTCTGATTTGTATGTTTAACATGAGCAGTATGACATTTTTCACTTCAATGCTACTCCTGAGATCTATGATGTCAATGGAGCTTCAGAAGGGATTTATCAGCCACAATTGCACATCTCCTAAACAAAGCTGAAGAACAGACAGTCCTAATAGGATTTTCATTTATGGATTCTTTCTAAGATTGTCCAAGGACAATGGTCAATATTCATTAAAATGCCCTGATATAAACTACAATTGCTTCTGTGTGTGAGATGTATGAAGAACTTTCAAGTATCACTTGAATATATAAAGAAGATAGAAAATTCCAGGTGCTTTACTGGAGAAGGAGGGACAATCTCCTGCTGTACTAGTCAGATCCAATTTGACAGTACACACACAAAAAAATAATAGAATTAAAACAACAACAACAACAAAACCCTGGAATAAAATGTTGCAAACTTTAGGGCCACATAAAGAAGATAGAAAATTATACCTATTGTTTGTTTTCATTCAAATGCTACCTTAAAGCAAATATTCTTCAGACTCATCAGGATTAACAAAATTCATTGCCTCAGAGAACTTTGATTTGATAGACAGGGCTTTTTTTAATGAGAGGTTTCATTGTGTAACAAATAGCATGCTGTAAGTCATAAATGGTTCTGTGGTATAATTCTCATACGTGGTGAGGGAGACTGTCTAGAGAATCAGAAAACAGGACATGAGGGTGCAGGGTCATGAGTATCTCTCTGAAATGGTCAGAGGGAGTGAGAATAACCCAGCCTCTCAACAACCCAGAACAGAAAGCAAATAAAGAGCCCCTTAGCCCAGCCTCATGGTGCCTCTTGAGCCCCACAGCAGTGGCAAGAAGTTCATTTATTTATTGTTGATTTACAACCTTTACTCACAGTTGTAGTAGCAAGAATGAAGTTTATTAGGGCAATAAATTGGAGAGTTGGGGAGGCAAAGAATATCACCTAAGAAAAATCCAGGATTTAGCCCAGCAGTCTCAAGGCAAAATTCCTCTATTGGTCCAGGCTCCAGTTTCAGTTCATCAACACTTCAAGAAGCCTGTAGATTCCCCAGTCATCCAGCAAGGCTTGCCTCAGAGCAGCTATAAGTCAACTTCTCCTTAATCATCCAGCAAGAACAGCAAAACCTTTCTTTAACTGTAGCCTTTATTTCAGGGCTCCTCTGGTTACACCTTGCCACAGTTTATCCACAGCAATGCCACAGTCTCTCCACCACCATCACTGAGGCCTTGCCACAGGGTCTTGCCCTCAGCAGGGCCTCACTCTCAGCAGGCTCTCACTCCAGAGACACAGTTCTATTACTAGTGGATATACCTCAAACACAGCTACCCACCAGAGATCCATACGTCATTGGAGGCTTGCATGTTGCTATAGTGCTGGGCAGATTTCAGTGGAACTTTCAGATTAGGATGGACAAGGAAGAAAGTCTTGGTGATATATTTTCAACTCAGAAAATACTGTAGCTATACAACAGTTTAATATATAAATGATCTGGAGGATCATTCATTACTCATGATGCTATATTAGGCAATATTTTATTCCATTGTGCATAGGGTCAACAGGGGTCAGGGAGTGACTTAATGTCTGCTAATAACAAGAAAGATGCTGTTTTGCCAGCGTGTCTTAGAGAGGATATTATTGAACTAATTCTAAACTGAAAAGTATGCAGATAACAGGTTTGCCATATGTTGACTGTACATATATAATATAAACAAATCATGTTGAACTGGTGAAACTCTAAAATATTTCCTTCTAGGTTGGACATCGAGGAACAATTAGAGATTATCCAGGATTCAGCCCATCAGTGGATGCTGAAGCTATTCGCAAGGCAATCAGAGGAATTGGTGAGTAGCATTTTACAATTCATCCAACAAGGTGGTGCAGATGGTTTTGACATGACTATTAGCCATAAGGTTGATGGTTCAAACCCACCCATATGTAACTTACATGGCTGACTTGGTAATATGCTTCTGAAAAATAATCTTAACGCAGCATGCCAGCTCTGCAGACATGGAATCATCATTAATCTGAATGAAATTGACAGCAGCTAAAATAATTTTGCAGTTATTTTTTAATGCTGAAGCAAAGCTGGAAAGTAATAGTCCAAAAGTGTTGACATTCAGTTGGCAGAAGTGTACTTACGCAGTTTAAAAAATTGTCTAATATTTTTATTGTAAATTAATGAGGAAAAAAATATAGATTCCGGTTTAAGAAATATCTAACATCTGCCTTGTTTACTTAATTTTAAAAAATACCACCACTATTGCTATTACTGATGATGATGATGATGATGATGATAAAATCATTACTGAAAGATCTGAAAGTCCATGTCTACTCTTCTTGGATTCTACCCCTACCCCTTCCCTAGAGATAAAGCACTTGAGTTTCCACCACTCATCTATCAGTTTGTTTTACTGTGGTGGCTTATGTGTTGTTGTGATGATAGAAGCTATGCTGTCTATATTTTGAATACCAGCAGAGCCAGCCACGGTGAACAGGCTTTAGTGGAGTTACCAGACTAAGACAGACTAGGAAACAGGAGTATCAACTCATTTCTGAAATAACTGGCCAGTGAGAACTTTTTCAGTAGCAGCAGAGCATTATTTAGTATGGTGCTGGAAGATGAACCTCTCAGATTGGAAGGCACTCAAAATACATAGGGGTTGGGGAGAAACTAAGAAAAGAGGGGATAAATAGTGTACACCGCATTAAAACAGATGAGGGAAAGAACTGTTTTAAAGGAATATATAATTAGGAATTATTTGCATGACAACAGTCCAGAATAAGAGCTGCATAGCAAAGTGGAAGGAGGGGGGAGGGAAAGAAGAAGGAGGAAATTGTGCAACCATGGAATAATTTTTAAAAGAGAAAAGCAAACTGGTAGGGGTAGGGAGGAAAATTTGCAACAATGAATGAATGAAAATCCAAGTTTTCTGTACACTTCTGTTAAAATATCTATTAAAAAAAATTCACTGGTTTTGACATGGTTTTGGTTCAGAGTCGCATTGGACGATCTGTACGGGTGGCCTACCCGCAGCTGCTTTTGTCTCACAACCACGTCCACTAATGAAAATGCTAATTCAGCAGCTGCCCGGCTTAACAGATTCAAGAACAAGGGGAAAGACAGTACAGAAATGAGGCGGCGCCGCATTGAAGTTAATGTGGAGCTGAGGAAAGCTAAGAAGGATGACCAGATGCTGAAAAGGAGAAATGTAAGCACTTTTCCTGATGATGCTACTTCTCCACTGCAGGA